TCCAATGATTAGGCACATTGATATTAAAGGGACACTAATACAATCTCAATGCATTTGATACGTTTTAGCTCCATTATTAGATTCAGTTGTTGCTTGGAAAATAATAAATGTATTGCAGAATACTGTACCAGAAGTCTGCCTCCTTGCCACACTCCTTCATGCAAGAAAAAAAGGCTTCCTTATCAAATGCATGCACACATCTCATCCACTGACTGCATTGAACAATCTGAATAACAAAGCAACCTGCATTAGAAGGAGAGATCACACAGGGAAACATATAGTAAGGATCTCACTACCTGCTTGTCTGTAGTTTTTTGACGGTCTTCAGCCAGACTTGGGCACACATAGGTTACATAGCATCCAAGGTAGAAAAGTTTCATCTGACAGTGCTTTCAGAGCTGTAGAATTTTTTTGTGTCTCACTTGGCACCCACCAACCACATTTTAGGGAAATTACATCCACATACTCACATTTATATTCACAAACACACTTAGATTCACATTCATACATACACAGCCACACACATTCATACACACACACATTTATAAGGATAATTTTTTTTATTTTATTTTTTATGAGGACAATCAAGCCTTTCTTTTCTTACCTTGACAAGAAGAGCTGGGGACTACTTTGTCTCTGTATTTCTCCTACACCTGACACTTCTAGATACTGGGTGGAGCTACCGCCATCTAGGAGTTTCAATCCCCCCAGTCATCACCAGTGACGTCTGCTGGGAATTGGCTTTATCTATGAAGTGCATAGATAAAGCAGTGATGTCAGCTCCTGCCGCTGAAGTTTCAGGAGCTGAAGAGCATTTACCAGAAGAAGCTGGCGGTGCTCACGAGGGACAATGTCAGGTAAGTAGAAGTTACCTTTGACTGCCCCCCAGTGACCATCGGACCCCCAGCATCAATGTCACTGTCAGGGGTCTTTGAAAATTCTGCAAAGTCCCCAGACGGTGAATGTGCCATTTTTATTTTTTTTTTTTAATTCCTTTTTTTGGTCAGGAAGTAGCACAACAGAGTAATACAGAATACATGAATTCACTGTGCAGATGGGATAACAATGAAAGGATAATGGTACATAACCTTCAGTTGCAATGTCACAGTTAACAATGCAATATTTGACATGAGCAGTTTCATCCACTCTGTTAACTGTGCACTTAACAAATACAAAAAAAAAATGTTTTTTTTTACTTATTTGTAGATAGAAGAGAGATAGAAAAAAATAGGCTTGTAGGGTCCCTTGGCTCTGACAATAAGGATTTCCTTTCTCCGGGAACAAACGTATAAGATACAGACAACCCGTAAAGAATGTATGTATACCATCCATGAGTAGTTGATTAGGAATACATACTCATGGGATCATAGGTCTAGCCCGGGGAAAAAGTAATCAATCAATTGAATATTAGTGAGCCAAAATGATGAAAGTTCAGAAGTGTAGGATAGTATAGAAAGTAGTGGTCGTCTGCTGAGAAGGGGGGGAGCGGGGGAGGTCAGGAGTCCGCTGCTGGGGCTTAATGGCCACACCCGCAGAAACCCTGACTCCATTTCCCCCAACACCCCAATCATCATTCTAAGTCAGTCAACAAAGTAATTTGTGTTCCATGGTTCCCATACTTTTTCAAACTTACGTACTGTGTTTCTCACCTACGCTGTCAACTTGACAGTGCCACTTAAAGTAAGTCAAATTTCTCACAACAGTCCTGCCCCACACACCTACTAACACACCTAAAATTAAAGTTTCTCTTTTTGTCTAATTCAGATGTTGGAAGGTTTGCTTAAAGAAACACTCAAAGTACTAGAACCCTATAACTATTTCTAGTGGTTTTGTTGCCAGGAGAGAGCCATAGTGCCTCCTAATTGTAAGAAGGCACATTTTAGTTCTGAGAGCTTTTGGCTCTCTGTCATTAGTAATGGATTCCAGGTGTGGTGCCCCAAAGACCTCAGGTAAGAAGTCAAACCATTCTAATATGGTTTGACTACTTACAAAGGGGGAGGTGTCAGGGCTCTCCTGCCAACATAGGGAGTTGCATCAGTTATGATGTTTGTAGTGTTTCTTTAATGGTAGCTTTATGGTGAAAGAAATAGCTATTTTTTTCAGTTTGTACTTTTATTGAGTTTTTCATAACAATTGGGGTACAGAAAGGAAAAGGGGTAGGTGGGTAAAAGGTAAAAGACAAGTGATACTACAATACAGCTCAATTCACAGTGTCAGCATATTTCAGAACTGGCAAGTCCTGAGTTTGTATTTAGAGCATTCTAGTTATATACCATACCCAACAGTGTAGTGTTACAGGTGCATGTGCTATCAAGAAATGACTCCTGGCCAAGGAGCACATCTGCAGAATTGTAAATAAAGGAAGTGAGACAGCGCTAAATAACTTTGGCAGCAACCTTAAAGCAGGATAAAAAATAAAATAAAAACAGTAAAAGGCTGCGCACATTTAGTAAAGTCCAATTCAAGGAGAAAAGAGAAAAGTCCAACTGGTATATTCTTACAGGTATCCTTGGTTGGTGGGGTCTTCTATTTATGTGGTGATTTCACTCGTTTATGAAAAATAAAAAGAGGAAAAAAAGGGACATCCAATGGTATAGTATGTAAAATTCAGATATAGACGTAAAATTGATAGTATAAAACTCACATTTACCAGAGCTAATGTCCAGCTCTGGAGTAAAGCGCGTACAGCGGTTTAATCCCCGCTTATCGGATATAGGCAGGTTCTTCTCCGTGGATGGTATCCAATTCTCGGGATAAAATAAAATAAACAGCCAATAGTGCTCACTGTATGGCAAATAATAATAAAATAATAAAAGAAATGTACTTACAAAGAAAGAGCAGACCCACTGCTCTTTGATGATAGCTTGGGTGGATTGATCCCCACCTACGGATTTCTTTGGGTACAGGAAACTTCCAGGAATTTTTAGGTTTCTTTTAAAACCATAAAAAGTTAAAATAACAATAAAAAAAGGCCAGGGTAAAATAAGAATGATATGTGTCTATAAAAAAGATAATTGGCACAAGCAAATGACCAAAAATACTTTAATATATATAAAAACACAATTTAAATATCCATAACGCGTTTCGTCACAAAGGGACTTTATCAAATGGAATAACATGATAACCTGGCACATAGATGTTATATAAGAGCATAATTGTTTGAATTTTGGCGCCAAAACTTAGTTTGACCAATCAGAATTAAAACCACTTATACAGCTTTAAAATACATCATAACTGATTTGACACATAGTTTTTGATGATACAACTACATTAAATTATATATACAATAAAAACGAAGGTTTAAAAGTGTCATTTGAGATAATTTTAAAAAATCACGTGACCGGTCCCTTTAACTATGGTTTTTATACAATTTATTTACAATATCCTTTTAATATCACTTTTTATTTAATCTGCCTTTTTAATTCTGATACCTTTCCCCTTTTTTTCTTTTTCCATCAATAAGGTGGATTTGTTTAAACTTTTGTTTTTCAACCAATTAACTCCTCTGTAATAAGTATTATAAGTGTCATATTTTTCCTTATGCTATTATTTTAATTTGGTGTTCTTTACTAAAAACTACATTTCCTAAAGGCTTTTTGGCTTTTATTGCCGAAAACCACGTGACCTCTTCTTTAAGCTTTTTATTTTTATCAGCCCCTCTATTTTTAACCAGTCTCCTCGTTTTTATATGGCCCCTTCGTTTTTATATTCTAACTACTGCTGCCACACTATCCCAGTCCGTTCTCAGGACTTTTAAAACGTCCGCCGCCATTAAACTACATTACCCATGCTGCTTAGCGGCGGTAACTTCCAAAACGCGGAAGTGCCGCCGGTCACGTGATTTTTTAAAATTATCTCAAATGACACTTTTAAACCTTCGTTTTTATTGTATATATAATTTAATGTAGTTGTATCATCAAAAACTATGTGTCAAATCAGTTATGATGTATTTTAAAGCTGTATAAGTGGTTTTAATTCTGATTGGTCAAACTAAGTTTTGGCGCCAAAATTCAAACAATTATGCTCTTATATAACATCTATGTGCCAGGTTATCATGTTATTCCATTTGATAAAGTCCCTTTGTGACGAAACGCGTTATGGATATTTAAATTGTGTTTTTATATATATTAAAGTATTTTTGGTCATTTGCTTGTGCCAATTATCTTTTTTATAGACACATATCATTCTTATTTTACCCTGGCCTTTTTTTATTGCTATTTTAACTTTTTATGGTTTTAAAAGAAACCTAAAAATTCCTGGAAGTTTCCTGTACCCAAAGAAATCCGTAGGTGGGGATCAATCCACCCAAGCTATCATCAAAGAGCAGTGGGTCTGCTCTTTCTTTGTAAGTACATTTCTTTTATTATTTTATTATTATTTGCCATACAGTGAGCACTATTGGCTGTTTATTTTATTTTATCCCGAGAATTGGATACCATCCACGGAGAAGAACCTGCCTATATCCGATAAGCGGGGATTAAACCGCTGTACGCGCTTTACTCCAGAGCTGGACATTAGCTCTGGTAAATGTGAGTTTTATACTATCAATTTTACGTCTATATCTGAATTTTACATACTATACCTTTGGATGTCCCTTTTTTTTCTCTTTTTATTTTTCATAAACGAGTGAAATCACCACATAAATAGAAGACCCCACCAACCAAGGATACCTGTAAGAATATACCAGTTGGACTTTTCTCTTTTCTCCTTGAATTGGACTTTACTAAATGTGCGCAGCCTTTTACTGTTTTTACATCTGCAGAATTACCCGGAGGGTGTTCCTCCGTCTAGGGTTGGACAATTCGACCTTACAATCAAGGGTGGTCAAGGGTGGTCGCTCTTTGGTCATTGTTGCTGCTGATTATACATATGTTGTTGCCGAGTATGCATATGTTTACTTGAGTTGCTCCCTATTATCCTGAGGTTAGCTATACTATTCCTCCCTTCTACTTGGTTGTCCAGTGCTTGTGTGGGATGTAAGTTCAAAGCTATGATACTGACTATGGTACTGCCAGTGGGTCAAAAGTTATCCATTTATGCCAGTTATTGTTTGTGGCAATCTTATGTTTGGGCGTAGTTGTGGACAACTGCTCATATTTAAGGTACTGTCGTATTTTACTATCTAATAGTTGTGACGTTGGACATTCTTTCTGCTTCCAGTGATATGCTAGGAGATTACGTGCTGCCATGATTACCATGATCATTAGTTGTCTATCCTGGTAAGGTGTGGTCATAGGTATCAGAAGAAACAGACCTATCTCAGGTGTGATCTTACCCCGGAGGACCCCTAAGGAATTACAGATCGTCTGGACCTCTGTCCATAACGGTTGTATATTCGGGCAGTGCCACCATATGTGGCTCATTGTACCCCTGTTCTGTTCGCACCTCCAACATTGTGCTGATGATAGTGGATATATTTTGTTAAGTTTATCAGGTGTGAGATACCATCTATAGATCAATTTTTTGTGTGCTTCTACATGTGAGTAGCAGGATGTGATACCTTTTAGCGCTAGGATTGATCGCAACCACTGATCTTTGGGAAAGCGAATAGATTGTTCCCTATTCCACTGTGCTATAAAAGAGAAGTCTGGCATCGTGTTATTGTGTCTTAGGGCTGCATAGCTGAGGGATAGGGAGCGGGCCTTGATTGGGGCCGTACGGCATCTGTCATACAGTGCCAACCTTTCTGTGTTGGGGTTGTCTGCAGGTTGTGTTGTGAGCATTACTCGCTCTTTGATTATGCTCTTTAGTTGAACATATGGGAAGATGAAGGATGGTGGGAGGTTATATGCGGTTTGTAAATCTGGGAAGGGTATGATGTCCCTTTGTGAGCATAGGTTAGTAATATGGGTAATTCCCAGTGCTGACCATTTTGCGAACGATAACCACGGAGATATAGACTGTAGTGCCTCTATGGGTGCCCATTTTAGGAATTTGTTGTTAGTCGCTTGCAAGCGGTGTAATTGGTCCCAAACTTGTATGGTGGTCCTATTAAGGGGCAATAGTGCTTGGGATTTGTCTCGTAGCTGTTTAGGTGTCCACATATAGTGTATAGCTGAGCTTCCTATAGTGTATTTTTTGGGGCATGCAATTTAATAGCTGCTTCTAGTACTGCGGCTTTGTGGGTTTGCAGCAAGGATAGGGGAATGCAGGGTTTTTTGTTTTCCCACACAAAAACCAATAACAATTTCTGGATTTGAGTGCTCAGCGAGGGTGAGAGAGGTAGTGATAACATTCTGAAAACATATAGTATTTTCGGTAGTATCATCATTTTGACAGTATTTATCCTGCCTAACCATGTGATTTGCACATCTTTCCATTTATGTAAAAGTTGTTTACACATTTGAGGGAGTGTGGATATGTTATGCATGGCTGTTCTCCTAGGAGAAGTAGCAATTTTGACCCCTAGGTATGTGATGTGAGAGTGTCTCCAGCCGAAGGGGAAGTGGGTTTGCAATGTAGCTACAGTTGTGGTCAGCAGTCGAATTGGGAGTGCTTGGGTCTTAGCTTGATTCCGTTTGTAATACGAGATTTGTCCAAAGTCATGTAAAGTGCGCATGAGATGCGGTAGGGATTGCGTCAGGGATACTAGGACATCATCCGCAAACATGGCCAATTTGTATTCCTCTCTCTGTATGTGTATGCCCCTGATGTTTGTGTTCTTGCGGATTGTGCATGCTAGCGGTTCAAGGGATAACACAAACAACAAGGGGGACAGCGGGCACCCCTGGCGTGTGCCGTTTGTGATCGTAAAGGGGTTCGATAAGAAGCCGCCACTGGAGACTTTGGCTGCCGGGCTAGAATACAGGGCCAAGACGCCCGTAATGAATGTTGCGGGGAAGCCAAATTTTAGGAGAACTTGCTCCATGTATCTCCAATTCAGTCTGTCGAAGGCCTTCTCTGCGGCCAGCGCCAGTAGAAGACCTTCCATTTTATTGTTTTCCATATGGGCCAGTATGTTGAGGATTTTCCTCGTGTTGTCCGACCCCTGTCTATTCTTAACGAAACCTGATTGGTCGTTATGCGTTATTCAGGTGAGGATGTCTTTCAAGCGTTCAGCTAGGGCTTTAGCATAGATTTTCGTATCGCTATTGAGGAGGGAAATTGGGTGAAAATGTTGGCATTGGTTTGCTGGTTTTCCAGGTTTGGGCAGTGTGGAGATATGTGCTAGTAGCATGTCCGGGGGCATAGACCCTGTGTCAAAACAGTGATTTAAGAGGTCTGTTAAGTGAGGTAACAGCAGGTCGGAAAAGGTCTGATAATATACATTTGTGAAGCCATCCGGTCCTGGGGATTTGTGAGCGGGCAGTTTTTTTATGATGTTCAGTATTTCTGTGTTAGTGATGGGGCGAGTAAGGGCCTCTATTTCTGCTTCCGTGAGTGTAGGTAAGTCAATGTCTGCTAGGAAGTGTTGAATTTGAGTTCCCGAGGGGACGTGAGTAGACTCTTGGTTCTCTAAATTGTAAAGGGAGCTATAATAGTTTGCGAATTCTTCCACAATGTCTTGGGGGTTCATCAGTTTGCGCTTATCTGAGGATAAAAGAAATTCCACTCGTGAGTGGGTAGTACGCGCTTTTAGTTTGGAGGCGAGGATTTTCCCTGATTTGTTGCCTTGTGCAAAAAATCTGTGTCTGTATCTTTGTAGGATATGATTGGTTTTGTTTAGTTCCACCTCATTGAGCTGGGTTTGTAGTGTTCGAAGCTTGTCATATTGTGGTTGTGTGGGGTTTTGTTTATTGGCGTGCGTGATGGCCATGATTTGTTGGAGAAGGTTATCGTACGTAGCCTTTCTTAGCTTTTTGGCATAGCAGCCGTGTTTGATCAGCGAACCCCTGATGACCGCCTTATGGGCTTGCCATATGGTGTCAGCAGTTGAGTCTCCTGAGCAATTTATGTCAAAGTACATTTTAATGTCGTCTCTAATGTGTTGGACAATCTGTGGATCTTTTAATAAGGATTCGTTGAGTCTCCAGGACCCTTGGCCTCTATTTGGAAATTTCTCTGTTATCGTCAGGGTTATGGGTGCATGGTCTGACCATGTTATCTGTCCAATGCTCGTTCTTTGTACTATCGGAGTTAAGGATTGAGGGATCAGGAATCTATCGATCCTAGAGTAGGAGTTGTGCGCCTGGTAGTGGAAAGTGAAGTCTTTTTCAGAAGGATGTAGCACTCTCCAGATGTCTAATAGGCCTGCTTTGTGTATGTGGCTCCTAACATGGTGCGTAATGGCGGATCGTTTCTTAGCGGTGGCGTGTGACACCGTGGTGTTTGATGTAGTGTCTAGATTGCTATCTAGAAGAAAGTTCGTGTCTCCCCCTATAATCAGTTTACCATATGTATGTGTTTGGGTGAGCATAATTATTTTGTCTAGGTATATACCTTGGTTATCGTGAGGGCCGTAGACATTTAGAAGCGTATACGGTTCGTTATTAATCTGACATTGTACTAAAAGGTATCTCCCTTCTTTGTCCCCTACTTTCTTATGAAGCGTGAAGGAGATATCCTTACTGATCAATATAGATACGCCTCTCTTCTTTTTAGTGTATCCTACATGATACCCAGTAGGGTAGAATTTAGATGAGAATCTAGGCATTTTGTTTCTGAGAAAATGGGTTTCTTGGTAGAAAGCTACGTGGGCTCGTAGTTTCTTTGTTTCGGCTAGAGCTAATCTCCTTTTATAAGGTGAATTAAGCCCTTTGGTATTGAGCGATAAAATGGTCAGAGCCATTTGCGTGGTACATTGATGCTATCCTGAATTCTGTTATGTGCATATCGCACCATGTTGTAAGTTATTAGCTTAGAGTGATATCCTTGTCTTGGTATTTGTACAATAAGAGGCAAGGTGTATTGTCTTATCTTTTTTTGTGCTTTCACCCTACCAATCAAGGATGTTTCTGGTGGGTACCCTGCTATAAGTGAGCTCGGAGGAGGGGGGAAGGGGGGAGGGTAGATAGCCAAGTGGCAACTATATTCAACATGGAGTACAGACGTTTTCGGTCTGTGAACGAGAGCTGATCTCGCGGCTTAATAGAGCCAAAGTGGGGGAGGGTGTTCATGAGGCTTGAGAAACTGCCCATTACATTTGTGACATTTTACATTCCTATAGTAGTTTGATGGTGAGAATGTTAGGTAAGTTGGCTACATACGATGCCACGCTCACCCATAACATTCTTGTCTGGTAAGGTGACATTAAAGTAATAAAAAAAAAAAAAAAAAAAAGACATAATTGCTACTTATAACAAATCAACATTTGCAATCATGTATGTATATGCTCACGCATCTCTATGACTGTGAACCAGGTCCATGGTAGAGAGCGGCAACCACAAAGATGTTTGGTTCTCGTAACTCAGTCCTTGTCACTTGTGCTTAGACATCGACATCCATTCCTTGGACACTTTTGTAGGCGATTTGCGTTGCTTGCTGGGCGGGTCTGCGATCTCTTGGGGTGCGACGGGCAGGTTCCAATCTTTGAGCAGTTGGATGCCTTCTCTGGCAGTATGGATTTGGTGCTCCACTCCGTTCTTCCTGACAATAATCCGAGTGGGGTAGCCCCATTTGTAAGGCATATCAGCGTTCCTCAGCGCTTTGGTGATCGGTGCCATCTCTTTGCGTTTAGCTAGTGTCGTTGCCGACAGATCTGTGAAGAGTTGGATGCCATTATATTCCTCTGGGATGTTATCCCTGTGTCTTGCTGCTTTCATGACACTTTCTTTAGAAGTGAAATAGTGTACTCTAGTGAGTACATCTCTTGGCACGGAGGCTGCAAGGAAGCGTGGCTTGGGAAGCCTGTGTATGCGATCCAAGCGTAGGTCTGCCTCCGAAAGCTCTGGGCACAGTGCTTTAAATAGTTTTATAGTGAAATCTTGTAAGTCCGCTGGCTTAATATCCTCCGATATGCTGCGCAGGCGTATATTGTTCCTTCTGTCGCGATCCTCATGGTCCGCCACTTTTGCAATCAAAGTGTCGATTTTAGCACCAAAGGAGTCATAGACCTCTACTAGGTTATTATGGGCCTCTATGATTTCTTCAGTTTTTTCTTCCAGTATAGATGTACGCTCCCCTATGGCTTGGACATCAGCCCTAACATCTCGGGCAAGCTTGCTGAATTTGTTTTGTAGATTGTGTTGCAGTTCCTGCAGCATTCTATGCAATGAGGACTCAGAGGCGGGTGCTGAATTCCCCTGGGAGATAGAAGTGCTGTCGCTCCGATCGGAGCATGCTGCTGGTGATGTATGGCCTCCGCCGCCATCTTTGCTCTTTTATCCTAAATTTTGAAATTCACTTTGAATTCCAAAAATTTTCACTTTGGTGAATAACCCAGTCACTTTTCCCTGAAACGGACAGAATGGTTTTAAGGGGAATTGTCACCTTTCTGGTAATGGCATAATTGAATGAAACATTGAAAATAACTTTTAAATTGTTTAACCATTTCCATGTGATGATCTGTATTCTTTTCAAATGTAAATTGAAGATGTTGCAGGTGACATCACAATTCGTTTCTGTCGGAGTACAGCCAGGGTAGACAATGGAAATGAGAAGGAAAACGGAAGGATTGGTACAATTTCTCCTCTTTCACTAACCTTGTTTAATGGCAGAAAAAAAGCAGCATTTATATCAATCATTGACAGGGAATAAAAATGGAGGCACCTAGTACTAGGATGCAAATAAAGGCAGAGGTGTGGATTTTTACATCTAATTTTATTTTTCAGACCTCAATTAAACATATTTGCTAAATGTAGAGGCCAAGTAAACATAATATTAAAAATCATATGAATAGACTGCCCCTTGCTACCGCCGGCCACACGTAGAGGGGGCCCATTGGGTGGCCCATGCTCTTAGTTCCACCTGATGGCAATGAGTCTGCAGGAGCCCGGTCAGGGCTGCAGCACTTTAACAGCGTAGCGGGCCTCCGGTGATGAGGACAACACTTGGAGGACGTGCAGTCACTTCCTTTCTAGCTAAGACAGAGAGTGCCGCATGGAAGGGAGAAAGGTAGGGGAAGCATGGACTGGTAGAGAGCCCGACTCCCAACAGCCTCAGCCAG